GTTTCGACAAGGTTTGTACCTGATGTATGTCGAAACGTTGTACATTTGCTGTTATATTAAAGTTTTTCTTCATTACCCATTCAAGCCGTCTCCAGCCATTATTAACCCTTTAATTTGTAACGGATTAAGATATTCCACCACAAATAATTGTGGACTGAACATCTGAGTTGTATGAAAGAGTAGAACATCTCAATTACAAATAACTAAATGTTTTAAAATAGTAACATAAATAAATAAAAATAAAACTTCCGTTAGAATTTTATTGCATTTTTAACCCCTCTATGTTTGAGCTTAGTCACACTCAGGATGGAGTATAAATTATATGTAAAACATGTGAATAAACAGTGTTAGGCTGTTACTACATTTTAAATTAAATGGTTAGATACAGATTCACCAGCATGGACATGAGGAACTGTATACCTTAAGTTATTTTGTCATTTTAAAACTTATTTTATTAGTTCATTAGGGTATCCTCCTATCTTCACTTGTCATTACTACTTATCTTTGACATAAAACACTTGGTTTTTATGTCTTTATTTTAACAAAATATTTTGACAATTAGGTCATATGAGAATATTTTTCACACTTGTTTCTTTTTAGGCTGTTTATAAATATATAATACTGATTTAACTTTCTTTTAAAATGAAATAAGACATATAAAAACAGGTGTTCAGTCATTTAACACCCAGACTGCAAGTCAATTAGACTGAATTAGGGGGATTGGGTTGTTAATCTTAAAAAAATCACTTTACTGCTAAAAGAACTTGCCTCTCAATAGTTGAAAATGTGTGTGTGTTTGGGGAGCTGGACTGTTCTCTTGCAAATATAGTAGAGGTGTTCACTTCAAACAGGTGCTACACTTAGCCACCTTACAATAATAAGTAAGCTTTGTTGGGCCTTCCTTGGCTATCTTGGAAACCAGTGTGAATTTGGCTACATTAGAGAGTTGGCAATTCAAGTTATAGATATCATACGAAGTTCAAATCTCTATTCAGAATTATAGAAGAAAAAAAAGGAGTACTGTAAAACTTTGGGAATTAACTCACCAAAAATACTTCCCTGACTTGCAGACTGGTCAATAATAAAGACAGGGTATTCAGTGTGTGAAATTAGAAACATATATGAAAAGTTTGTTTTTGACTAAAAATTTGCTTGATAGTAAACTAATATTACAGTACTAAAATAATCGGACATTAAAGTTTCAGTACCCCTGTACAATTAATAGAAGTAAGAGTCTTTGGAAATTGAAATCTTGCTTTCTTTAAGAAGTCAACACACTAAAAAACTGATTATGTAATCCTTATTATATTCATCAGAGGCTAGTCCATGTGTGAAAATTCAAGATGTTTCATTTTAAACTGCATCAGGTTAGTAGCATCAATTTTCCCATGGTACAATGAAAACCAATGTTTTTCTAGACTTAGAAAATAAAGTAACTGATATTACTATTATAACAATGTTAGACAATCAAGCAGAAAGTGACCACACTGAAAGAACAGGTGTACAAGAATATGAAAAGCAAGCACACCTGTGGGGCATAGCACTACTTCTGGAACAGGTATGCTCTTCACCCAGTAATTAACACAGGAACAAAAAAAGGGAAGAACTGAATTGGCAGGCACCAATGCATTCAGGAAAAAAAGACATGTAGCACTGAATCAGTGGAAAATTGCTGTATAACCATGACTTGAAACAGCACAGCATTGACAAACATGGAAAGTCTAGTGTGGAAGTGACAATGGGTCATACAAGTATGTGCCTAAGAGTAGTGCTTTGGGTTACATCAGAGTATGTCAAGTGTGGTCCTTCCAGGTAAAAAACATACAAGGGAAGCACCATGGATACAGAGGATTATGAAAAAAAAAAGTTTATCAAGTTATCAACATACAAGTCATACTTTGTCCACATATGTAGCAGGCCGTAGTACTGAACAATGATAGTGAGCCATAAAAGTGCCAGAGAAAAACAAAATAACTATACATGGCTAGGGCTGAAGGCCAGTGAATTGTATATGAATAGGCCAAGTGTGGTCCACCCAGGCAAAAACAATCCAGGGGAAGTGCCTTACGATACGTCGGATTATACCAAATATGGTCCATCCGGGCAAACAAATCCAGTTGAAGTGCCTTGCACAAGTTTGTGAGATCAACAAGTGTAGTCCACCTGGGCCAAAAACATCCAGGGGAAACACCTTGGGTTGTGTTGGATCATGCCAAGTGTGGTCCAACCAAACAGAAAACATTCATGTGAAGTGCATTGGATAATGAACATTACTTTATAATTCTTGTAATGATTATAACAACTATAGCACTCTTCTTGCCAAGTAGGTACACACGGGCTAGAAAGCTTTATTTTGTTTTTCAAAACCTACTGAGGAGGAAACCTCCACAGTCCACCACTTCAGCAACTGAGAACCAGAAATGGTAAAGACTCCCATGTTCCACTAGAAAAGAAAGGAGGGGGGTGGGGTACCTTTTGGTGAGTCCGAAGGTACGACACACCAGACACACTGCGATTAGACCCCCAATTATTGGAATCACAGGTCAGTAGTGATGGGCAGAAATCCCAACCTGCTTTACTCAGGAGGCCCATGAGTGAGTCTTT